TCACCCTAGTTCGCTTATCCTCTTTGAGATCCCCCTCTCAATTTCTCTCCTGTAGGGAAGAACTTGAAGCCGAAACAGTACAGGAAGGGGAAACGGTCTCCTGTCGCCCTCTGCTCGGTGATACACTGCTCACTGCCGGCGCCTCGGAGATTGACCAAGAGGACGTGTTTGCCGCCTTCTTGTGGGTCTCCTCTCAACTCGAAGCTCCTGACCTCTACGCCAACCCCGATGATCTGAATGATGACGATGACGATTCGGAGGAAGCGGAGGCAGAGGATGAGAAGGAGACTAGCGTTCGCCGAGGTAAATCATCTACCACTTCCGACCTTTTTCTCTTCTTCTAATGGTCCATAGATAAAAGGGCAGACATATCCATGCATTTTTAGGGGTAGTATTTCTTGGTCCTTTGTCCACGAGCAGCCATGCTTCTTCGGAAACCTGAATATATCAGCAGTGAGATGTCGATATTTTCGATAGTACTGCATATTTTCATTGTTAAATGGGGTTCTGTTCACTATTTTGAACGTTCCAATGCTTGCGGCCGACAGTGCGCACATTTTGACGTCAGGCTGTTGGGCGTCGAGTCAATCGCATTTCCAACCACAGGCTGTTCGCGTGGAGAGACACCGTGGTGGAAGCCAGTCTCGGCAGGCGTGACCACAGCCGCAAAGTACTAATTCCCATATCCTCCCTTTGTATATGCCAATGTCAGTTTTCGGGAAGTGTTTAGAATGCGGTGCACGCAGTGCTTTCTGGAGTTTGCAGTTGGTGTTGGCCAGGAGTGTAGAGCCATTCAGTGTTCTTTTAACGTGCCTAAGCCTAACTTTGTTGCTATTTGACTTGCCTTAACGCGTGTTTACGGAGCCGAGAGGGAGATAGACGGGGGGGTGCTGCAGGATCATACGACCGGTGTCTACCGTGTACTCTCTAACGCAATGGGCGTAAGAACCGTGACTCTCGTGTGCATTCGTTTACAGTGATAGTATAATTATGCAGCACCTACCG